CTCTCTTATACTGTGCCTCTTAGAATTCAGGAATCTCTGACCTTTATGCATGCAACTCCCTCAGGGATGCACATTTTAAGAAAATGCAGAATCTCACAGACACACAAGTCTTCTCAGGACTCCATTCTGTTTATAACTTTCAGATAGTGATTTCTTTAGAATATATCAAACCAAAAAAATATTTAAAACAGACTAGCTAAACTATTAGAATATTTATGAGTCTTGAAAAGTCAAATTTATCAGTCTTATCTAAGCTAGCCCCCTGCTCAAAGCAGGACCATTCCCAAATATATCATTGCATTTGTCTAGCCGAGTCTTAAAAACCTCCAAGGATGGCGATCCTACCACCTCTCTGCTCCAGTGCTTTACCTACTTGTGGCAAAGTTTTCCTAACATCTAACCTAAACTTCCCTTCCCTTCCCTTCCCGCAGAGCTGCTGCTTAGACAAACGTCCCCCAGCCTGTACCGGTGTGTGGAATTGTTCCATCCTAAGTGCAGGACTTAGCACTTGTCCTCATTAAACCTCATGAGATTTCTTTTGGCCCAAACCTCCAAACTGTCAAATTCTCTCTGAATCTTAGCCCTACCCTCCAGCGCATCCACTACTCCCCCCAGCTTGTTGTCATCCATAAACTTGCTGAGGGTGCACCCCATCCCATCTTCCAGGTCACTGATGAAGATATTGAACAAAAATGGCCACAGGACCCAACCCTGGGGGATGACAACTAGACATTAAACCATTGACTACTACTGTCGAAGCCCAATGACCCAGACAGTTTTCTATCCACCTTACACTCCATTCATCCAACCTGTACTTTCTTATCTTGTTTGCAAGAATATTGTGGCAGACCATGTCAAAAGCCTTGCCAAAGTCAAGGAATATCAAGTCCACTGCTCTCCCCACATCCACAGACCTACTCATCTCATCATAGAAGGCAATCAGGTTGGTCAAGTATGACTTGCCCTTGGCAAATCCATGCTGACTGATCTTAATCACCTTCTCCTCTTTCAAGTGCTTAAAAATGGATTTCTTGAGGACCTGGCTCCATGATTTTTCCAGTGACTGAGGTAAGGCTGACCAGCCTGTAGTTCCCTGGATCCTCCTTCTTCCCCTTCTTAAAGTTTCCACTTCTTGTAAGCTTCCTTTTTGTGTTTTAGCTCACTGAAGAGTCCCCCTTCTAAGCCAAGCTGGTCTTGTACCATGCTTGCTAGTCTACCTGCACATCAAGATGGTTCCTTCCTGGCACCCTACATAAAGTAAAGCCAGCTCTCCTGGACTCCTTTCCCCCTCAGACTGATCTCCAAGGGGATCCTGCCCATCAGTTCCCCGAGTGAGTCGAAGTCTGCCTTTCTGAAGTCCAGAGTCCATATTCTGCAGCAATACTTCTTTCCTTTCCTCAGGATCCTGAACTCAACCATCTAATGGTCACTCCTGCCCAAGCTGCCATCCACTATTACATCTCCCACCAATTCTTCCCTATTTGCAGGTCAAGAAGAGCATGGCCCCGAGTTGGTTAAAATATTCACTGGTTGTCTACAATTGATTCAGGAAGTCCATCCATGAGACTCCCTGTGGCTGATATAGACTATGAGCAAAAAAAAAAGTCTGCTGTATATGTTCTTCACTACTTTAAGATGCATCTAGTAATAATCTTTAAAAACTTATTTGTGAAAAGGTCAACCCTGTTTTCACTGGAATCACTAATATTTTTGTTAGACCTCTCCCATTTCAGAAAGAGTCTTAGATTTATTTAAAATCTGTTCTCTGATGGGAAATTTCTAAATCCTTAATCCTTTTTCAGACCCAGGTTTTATAGGGGTGATGCTAATTTTGTTTTAATCAGATATTTTTGCATATTTATGTTATGAAATATTAACCATACGTTCCATGCTGTGGAAAAGTCTTTCTGCCATGCATCTGTAGTGTATATTAAAATATTTTCAGAACTGAAAGCTTCTGTTAAGTCTTTTTTCTATCAAACCAATGACATTTACTTATTCAAGACACTATTTTGTTCTTGTATTTTATATTCCTTTTACAGCAGTTTAGAGTTTGCCACTTAAAATTTGGCACTTTCCTTTTGTTAAAGAACAAGGAATCTATACAATCTGGGAGTTACTGACTTATAATATGTTTCACTTGGGCCCCAGTGCCACAACCATTTCCTAAAGAGGTCCCCATACCCATTCAGAACATACATGGTTTTAACAAGACTTCATTTTGACAGGAAAGACTGCAACCTACAGGATTTAGAGGCTTAGTTATTTCTCAGAAAAGCTAAGAATTTTCGCTTTTCCGTTCATACAATCCATTCATTTAATGATATTATGTTAATTATAATGTTATTATATGAAATTATCATGTTGCTAGTGACTGTACCCCAATATTGCAGTTCAGTTTCATTCCTGGTCTGCTACACACAATACTTATTAAGCTTAAAGAAATCACATAGCGACTAACTAGAGAGCCTTTAATCACTGTCAGCTGGCTTATCAAACACACTGGAAGAGGGGAGGTGCTCAGTAGGGCTGTGCAAAGGTTCGGTAGCTGGTTCGATTCAGAGGAGATTCAGCCTGATTCAGGGACTGAATCTCCAAATCTGAATCGAATCAAGAGACCAGTTAAAAGCTCTGAATTGATTTGAAGCATCTGAATAGATTCGGAAAAGCTTCAGAAGAGATTAGGCCGCTTTGGAGATTCAGCCATAGACTAAACAGGCAGCTGACACAACTGCCTCCAGCTGGTAAGTCTGTTGGGATTGGGGAAGTGGGGAAAGAAGGGGCATTAGGGAGGGAGGGATTGGGGCTGGGACAAGCTGACCAGCCAGGGCAGGGGGTGTGTTACTCAGGAAGCAGGGCAGGGGGTGCAGGATGGAGGCACGACAGCACTGGGAGCAGGCCCACAGCCCTGCTGCCACTTGCCCAGCCAGGGGGTCAGGATGCGGGCACAGCTTGCTCCAGGCAGAAGGGGGCAAGAAGTCCCTGCTCCCAGCACTGCCACACACGCATCCTGCACTCCCGCACCAGCTGGCAAGCAGCGGCAGGGCAGAGCTCCTGCTGTCAGTGCTAATGCAGCCACTGGGAGCTGGGTCTATGCTCTGCTGCTGGCCGGAGCAAGTCGTGCCTGCATCATGCTCCCCCCTCCTCCTCCCCCCATGCCAACTAGACAAGCAGCAGAAGGGCAGAGCCCCTGCAGCTCTCCCTGCCAGGGCAGAGGCGGGCACAGGCAGAGTAACTATGGGAGAAGCCCCCAAGACTGCCCGGCCCAGCCCCCCGGCACTTTAAAAAAAAAATAAAGCCCCACACTTACTGGCTGCTGCAGCGGGGATTAGGACCTCTGGGCTTTCATGGCAGAGCCCCCCCCACACAGCACAGGGCAGTGGGAGGCACAGGGATCACCCCTCACCTGACTGACACCCTTGTGGCAACTGCCCCATGGCACAGGTGCAGCGCAACTGGGAACTGGGGTGGCTCTATGTGTCAGCCCGAGCCAGGCACCGCTCAGCCCCAGTGGCCTCAGCTCCCAGGCAGCGCACAATGCCCTGCCAAGCTGCACTGCACCCACACCATGCAACAGCTGCTGCGCGAGTGCCAAGTGGGGGGGAGGGGCAATCCCCACTGCCTCCCCACTGCACATGGGGGCTCTGGCACAGGTGCCCAGAGGCCCCAATCGTTGCTGCTACAGCCGGTGAGTGCAGGGATTTTTTAAGTGCCAGGATTAGGCTGGGGCCAGGCAGGGCAACCATGGGGGCTTCTCCCATGGCTCCCCCCACCCAGGGAGAGGCAGGCACAGCTGGAGGAGCTGCAGGAGAACCTGCAGCTGCCTAGCTGTGCCTTACTCTCCTTGGCCGATACGAATCACTGAATCTCTCCAAATCAGTGCCAAATTTTCTGAAACCGATTCAGCCAAATCGATTAAGGGCAGTGATCCAAATCTCTGAATTGAATCACTGTCCTCCGAATCAGCCAAATCCAAATCGAATACTTCCCTATTTGCACAGGATAGTGCTCAGACATTATGTGTACAAAGTATGATAAAATAGTTATTATCTTTTATACTTTTGTTATAAATTAACTGTAGAAACTGGTCAGGTTCTACTGATCACATAAGAAATGCAATCATCAGTTACTACAGTTTCACTCTATTTTACTACTTTGGCATATGTATCAATTAGTTATGCCCTCTTTATTAAACCTCCCTTCAAACCTCATGATTCAGTCTAGTCACCTTCCAGGAAGGGAGAAAAAAGGGAGAAAACTTAATCAGAAGCTGATACCTCCTTAAACTAAGAGGGGGAGTGATGGGGGAGAGAGTCCAGCTGCGCCAAGACTTTCCTGAAGCCTTATCAAGACAGTGACACAGACAGGGCCTCTAGTCAATCCAATGTATCAGTGGGATTTTTACCTGTTATAAGCAATGTTGTGAAGTTAAGAGAAATATTTATTTTATTGTATTTTGAAACAACACTTTAACCTTTCAGCAGTGCTTTACTCAGAGAAACAATAGATAAGTATTAAACCTAACTAAAACTTTTCAGCAGCCTCAAATAGTCTGCACAAAATAGAATTAACAGATTCAATTGGTTTAATATTTACCAACAAATCCTGAACCAGAGTTTTCACATTACGGGATGTTTCTGGAGAAGGTGAATTATGGGAAGCAAGTTTTATAAGGGTGGCTAAAAAGTTTTTGCATTTTTTCACATTCTCTTGCATTTCCTGTAAAAAAAAATTGAGAGAGACATGATATATATAGTGAAGTTTATATTTGTGAAGAGGTCACTAAAATAAGTTATTTGCAATTATTTACAGATTGGCATGAAAAAATGCTCTCCCTAGTACTGAACACATTTGACAAGTGTTCATATTACTAAGAAAAAAGCCACAGAACATAGACAATTAGGTCTGGAAAGAACCTCAGGTGGTCATCTAATCCAACCCCCTGCTCGAAGCAGGACCATCCCCAACTAGATCATCCCAGCCAAGGCTCTGTCTAGCTGGGTCTCAGGAACCTCCAAGGATGAAGATTCCAAAGCCTCTCTGTGTAGCCTGTTCCAGTGCTTTACTACCCTCGTAGTGAGAAAGTTTTTCCTAAAGTCATCTGCTAAGCATTTAACTTTTCAGAACTTATGTACTAACCTGTGATACTACTGTAGTCCCTGGTACAGGGGAACTAGGTACGACTTGGGGCTGTGCTGGTACTTGTGCTGTTGTTTGAGGTGGGAGTGGTAATCGAGGCTGACCTTGGGGTTGTGTTGGGGTTTGAGTTTGCCCTCCTGAAATTACTGTAGGTTGTTGAGAAGCTGAGGTTCCAGTTGCTACTGTAGTTTTAAATAAACTCTGAGCACTTGTGGTAGCTACTGTTACCTGTTAACATTAAAATAAAAATAAAAAAACAAAAACTAAAAAAAACCCAAGATGATTACCTTCTTTTAATTTCCTTCTTTTCTTTATTTCCTTCCTTTCTTATTATTTAATAATAAGCAGTTAAAATCCAGTAAATACAAACTCACATTTCCTTCTGCTATGGAGCATAGTAGCTAAAGACAACAGGAAAATATGAAGAACATTCCTTAGAATTACAAATTTTGCCTCATTCCTCCCATCATGTTGAATAGTACCTTGGCTCTTTGAATAATCCCCTTTAATTTCATAGGAAACGTATTCTAATATAGGTGGCACATTTGAACTCTTCAGCATTACACAGCTAGTATTAATATGGATAACTCCAAGTGCAGTAAAGATGGCCCTTCATATTAAGACCTCTCCTAGTTAAAGCATTGGTAATACAATGCTGGTATAATGTTGGTAATACAAATACTTTATTAACATGTCATGAAAACTCATTTAGAAAAACTTACATTCATGAACTGATGCATATCACCACTACTCACTTTTATTAGTGTTATGCTGTTAATACTTACTGTGGTATGTGACAGAGTGGAACCTCCTGGCAGGGTTGCAGCAGATGTAACGCTAACTGGTGTAGCGGTTGACTGAACAACTTTAGCTTGCACAGGCAGTCCTAGCCGGACAGTAGACGTGGCTACAGAAGTTGGCTGCTAACACAGTAAGGAAAAAAAATATATTTAACAGTATGCATGCTTGAGAATTCAGTATAGTACAAAGTTTTGTTTAGGTTTGTTTTGAAAATCATAGTGCAAGGTTTGTTGGTATGTTTTTTAATCGCACTGATGAAATAAGTATCTACAACTTAACCTCTGCAAAAGGGTACAACAAAATTAATGTTTACTAAATAAAAACATAATTTTTTTCAATTCTACAATAGCAAATCAAACTACTTACACATCTGATATGGTAACTCTTCATAGTCCTACAAGTAACTGCTAGGAGAAGGTATACTAAAGCTTTTTATTTGCGTATGAACAATAACATATGAATCATTTGTCTTCCAAAAAGTGTTTTTGATAAAAGGTGAGAGGCTTTTGTAATGCTTTTAACATTTAAAAACCCCCAGCTTAAATATGGGAAAATATACAATGAATTTGATGTCAACAGACACATGCTTCCTATTATGAAATCTGCGCACACACTTCTTCAAAAACAGTATATTACTTCAGCAACATTTCTTAGATTTATAATGAATCGCAGGACCCAACAGTTGTGTACTGGCTGCTTTCAGTATTGCATTGAAAGAATGTTTTCAAAGGAAAAAAATAATCAAAAATTAAATTAAGATACAAATGTCTACAATACTGCAAGGAGGACCTTGCTTTAAGATTCCATGGCAGAACATTATATTTTAACTCAAACTACCTGATACATGATTGGGGGAACTGGAGTCTAGAGAGACACCCTCAATGTTTTATTAACAGAATACTTCCTATCAACCAATCCAAAAATGACAGAGGAAAGAGGGAGTCATAAAAAATCATGGGTTGAGAATTAAAATAAAGGAAAGTCAAAGAACTACCTCCTCATACACATCCTACCTCTCAAAAGTGAATGGAATCTTTAAAAACCATCTTTTTGATATATAATGAATACATAAAGCAAACAGAGAGCACTAAATAAAACATCCAGAAATACAAATTATCATAACTTATCATGCTTCTCTAAATTATTGCTATTTTTCTATTATCCACTTCAAAAATATTCTTCTCTTCCACCCTTTTGTAATGGATCTGCCACCTTTTTGGTGCTACAAAAAGCCTGAATATATTGCATGGTAATTTTTTTATATTGCTATAAAGGCATATATAAACCTACAAAAGTAATGTATGTCCATGGCCTATGTCTTCTTAAAACAGGCAACACAGTTTATTAGTATTGCTATAAAACAATTAAATATTTAAAAAAGAGGTAAGGTATACATCTGGATTAAGAGAATTTCAAACCCTGTAACTATTTCACACAAGAAAAAAATATTTTAATTTACATTTATGGTTGGATAATTCTTTTTACAGATACAAAAATACAATTATTTTTAAAACATATGGTTCACCTCTGATTCCTACATTGTCTACTAAACTTAAAAAAATATTTCTTCAAAGAACATTCAGTATACCTAAGAGATTTCTAGATGCAACAGAGGCCCAGACATGCACTCAAAGCCTCAAGCATCCCTTACCAATCACTCCAGCAACATCTTCTACTGGATATCAATCTTCTGTATTTGGAGGGGAGGGGATAATCTACCTGTTATCTGAACAAAACCTTTTTTTTTTTTCCATTGGATAGCTTTCAAGGTTTTGTTGTTAAAAAATAAAAACAAAAATACACGCAACTTGATTCAGGATATTTTCCACGCTTAGGCAAGCTAGAGGCGATATACATCATCATCATGAACAGGTAAAGTCTGTCTTTTTAGAAGAAGCACAAAGGCTTTCTTAAAAAAATAAAAAAGAAATATATATTTCCTTTCTCCATTTTAGAGGGGAGCTTTAATTCCCATTTCCTTAAAATAATGTTTCAGTGAAACAATAGCATTTCTGAGAAATGTTCATATAAATAAATATACTATAAGCCTTATTTACTTATGAACAGTATAGACAACTTAAAAATACTACATGGTTATGTGCTAAAGCTCTGTGCTCTTCTTGTCAGTAGCTGCTTCCAGAGGTGAGGATTTACCAAGAGAGAATATATATAACCAGGCAAGCTTCTGGCAACCATCTGATTCCAAGAAAGACCTGAAGCAAACACAAAGCTCAGCCCAGAAAGCTACAGCATTTTTTCCCCAGTCATGAATGCCTAGAATTTAGCATAAAAAGAATATACTTTCCAAATAAAACTGCACGTAATCAAAATCACATTTGTGGTTCAACTCATTATTTTTAGTTTCACACTACCACTTGTGAAGTGATCAAAAATAAGATATCATTCTGGTAGAAGTATCAACTGGAAAAGAACTATGAAGTAAGAGATCCCACAATTCACTTCTGACAAATAAACTATGAGGATGAATTGAACTTTATTCTTTCCATAAACAATCTTTACGGTAAGCTTGGAAAAATTATTAAACACAAGACAACACACAAACAAAGCCAGAGCAAAAAAGAAAAAAAATGGAATGGTTCCTCATCAATGAGCACTATCCAAGCATAAACAAACAGAAAATTAATAGTGTAAGATAACGTAGTTAAGAAAAGTATCATAATGCACACATGCAAGGGGGTGAAATTAAGGTTGCTTAATATTTGACTGTGACTATATAATCTTAAATATGCTGTTACCACAGTTTGTGTATAAAAGAAATAATGTCTGAATACTTTTTTAAGACTGCTCTAAATACAAAAACAGTAGCAACAGAATTTTTTTCCTTTTTATGAAAAGCCATATCCATGGCAAATAAAGGGAAGAAAACTGGTTTTGCAGTTAAAAGTACAGTCCAGACCTCACACTTTCAGCCCCAAACTATGTTTACCAGCCTTCCATCTACCTAAAAGTCTATTCTGCAAACCTGCAATTTACATTCAGCCATCAAGTACGACCTAACCTCCTTCCCCCAAGCATATCCAAATACTCTCTTATCAGGGGTAGGAAACCTTTCTTGGCTGGGGGCTGGAATGACGCACCCCAGGTCAGAGGTAGGTGGCTGGGCGATGGCATAGTGAGAGCACCCGCAGTCAAAGCCTCCCACCTCCCCCAACTAAATACCACTGAAGCTCCGCATTTCCAAATTCAATGGTTTTGTAGGCCAAACCCAGCAGAGCCCTGCTCTATGACACCTTTCTTTTAAACAGTTAGGACAAAGGAGAGCAAAGCATATTACACAAGCAAGTAGATGCAGTAGGGAGGCAAATAAGCTGGACAATTTTTCTTTAAACAATGTAGCTAAAGAGACAAAATTTATGAGTCATCCAGTTGTTCACTATAGAAAACCACTAAATGGGTCACATTATCTCTTCTTCAAATTGCAGGAAAAGAAAAACTATTCTTGGCTTTTGTTTGGAATGATCAACCATACCGCCACATTTTCTTGCATATCGCATACCCCCAAATAAGACACAAACCTTGTTTTTGAAAAGCAGATTTAAGACAAAAAAATATTTTCCAAAGTCATGGCTGAGTTCTGACCCCACAGCTAAATCCTTCATGGCTGATTCCTGACTGTTGCTGCTCAGGTAAAAGCTACTGTTTTAACCCTCTCACAGCCGCTGCCAAATTGGCAGCAACTTTTGGCTGCTACTGCCAATTCAGTAGCGGCTGAGAGAGGATTTAAGTTAACTGTGACATGCACTCCGCCCCCTCTCTCAGACTGGGAAAGGAGGACAGTCCCAGTAGCCATCACACCCCCAAAGCAGCCACTGCACACTTCAGTTCTGGCACTGAAAATCAGCTCCCCCCTCTTAAGATGCACACCACAATTTTGGAGACAAAAGTTGCATAACGAATGCAAATAAATACAGGAATTCAAAATTTTCTTAAAGGAGAAGGTACACATAGGTTCACATCTGTTTACACAGGACCTAAGTAATATCCAAAGACCATTTGTTCATTCAGAAACTTTATTTTTAAAAGCTATAAATTCATAAAATAAGATTTAAATCACTCAAGAATAGCTTCAGGCCAATCACTAATGACAAAGACATCCCACAGAAATTTGATCAAAGGTATGGACAAACATACATTTTAGGCACATCAAAGGAGGTAGGGAGCTTCTGCATTTGTTACTATGACATCTGCATGATCCTGCTGCAATACAAGTTAGCAAACTCACCCTAACTCTGATGAGTTTTGCTACACTTATGTTGCTACAGAAGGGTGGGCAAAAATGGTGGATCCGGCTGGTGGCTGGACTCCATTTCCCTGCAGTCCCTGCCTGCACCACTCCAACTGGTCTCAAGAAGCCAAGGCATGACAGCATACGGCCATGACTGCAGGGTCATGGAGAATGGCCTGTAGTGGCACTGGCTGGCTCTCCATGGAGAATGGACTGCAGTGGCACTGGCAGGGCACACAGCTGGGCAGAGAGCTGCTTCAGGGCTGGGATCACATGGCCGTGACAGCCCAGGGCCAGAGCCAGGGAAGAGCCACAATTCGCTGTCTGCATATCTGGATCACAGCTGTGCCACAGCTCTGGCCTGCACCGTCACTGCCAAGATCTCAGTGCCAGCGCCAGCCCAGGAGCAGCTCCCTGCACAGCCACACACTCTGCCAGCTCCTGCGGTCCCCATGGAGACTGGTCAGTGCTGCACAGGCAGGGGCAGCAGGGAAATGGAATTCACTACAGATCCAATCTGACCCACAAGCTGTATTTTGCTCACCCATGCGCTACAGGATCACGCAGACATGACTGCTTGTATCAGTATCTTTTGATACTGACACTGTTAGCTGTCTATACCCCAGAAGTGTCATAGGTGACAGAAACTTCAAAATAATTAAACAGCAAGGACATTTCAGATTCTTGCCAACAAATTTTGTTCTAT